CTCCTGCAGCTCACCTTGAAAGGAAGAGTAGGAGTTGGACTTGGAGATGGAAGAGGGAAAGGTATTCCAAGGGTCAGGAACAACGTGAAGAAAGGCATGGAGGTGGGGAGACGCAGGAACTACCTTGGGACCAGAATCAGGTACATGGGGAATGGTGGTACGTGCTAAAGTGGGAAGTCAGGTGAGAAAGTCTGAGCTTTATCTCATCAGCAATGGGGAACTGGAGAGGTTTTCTGAGCAGGGGCTGGCCTGGTGATATTGATGCTCTAGAAAGGCCACTCAGTCAGGGAGACTGCATAGGAGGCTGGTGTGTGGTCCAGGCAACCCACCTCACATTGTTATCAAGTGGACTTTAAGTGAGCATGGATGTATTGAGTTCAAAATCACTGACCCGTGAGACGGATTACCATTGTCGTCACATCGTGTGTGCTTATTATGTGTCCTTAGAGCCGCAGCCAGATTTGAATTGTGCATCTTTCACACATTCACTCATTTAATGAATATTTACTTTTTTGTTCTGTTTTTTTTATTTAACTAATATTTATTGAGCACCTACTATGTGCCAGGTGCCATAGTGCCACTGGAGAACCAGCAATGGACAAAACAAGCAAAAACCCCTGCCTTGAAGACCTGAATAAACACTTCTCCAAACAAGATATACAGATTGCCAACAGGCACATAAAAAGATGTTCAACATCACTATCATCAGGGAAACGCAAATCAAAACCATCATGAGATATCACCTCACACCTGTCAGAATGGCTATCATCAAAAAGAACACCGATAGCAAATATTGGCGAGGATGTGGAGAAAAGGGAACCCTCGTACACTGTTGGTGAGAATGTAAATTGCTGCAGCCACTACAGAAAACGGTATGGAGGTTTCTCAAAAAACTAAAAATAGAACTACCATATGACCCAGCAATTCCACTCCTTGGTATATTTCCAAACAACAACAACAATTTAAAAAAACTAATTCAAAAAGATAATTGCACCCCAATGTTCACAGCAGCATTGTTTATAATTACCAAGATATGGAAGCAACCTAAGTGTCCATCAACAAATGAGTGGATAAAGAATATGTGGTGTACACACACACACATACACACACAGAACGGAATACTACTCAGCCATAAAAAATAATGAAATTTTGTCATTTGCAACAATATGGATGGACTTGGAGGGTATTATGCTAAGTGAAATAAGTCGGGCAGAGGAAGACAAATACTGTATATATCACTTATATGTAGAATCTGGAAAATACAACAAACTAGTGAATGTAACAAAAAAGAAGCAGACTCACAGTTATAGAGAACAAACTAGTGGTTACGAGTGGGGAGAGGGAGGGGGAGGGACAATATAGGGGTAGGGGATTAAGAAGTACAAACTATTATGTATAAAATGACTAAGTTATGAGGATATATTGTACAACATAGGGAATATGGCCAATATTATATAATGACTACAAATGGAGTATAATCTTTAAAAATTGTGAATCTCTATAGTGTACACCTGTAACTTATACTGTACATCAATTATATTTCAATTTTTAGAAAATCCCTGCTTTCATGGAACTTATTTTCTTTGTCTTTTTTTTTTTTGCGGTACGCGGGCCTCTCACTGTTGTGGCCTCTCCCGTTGTGGAGGGAGGCCTCTCCCAGGCTGCACAGGCCGGATGCACAGGCTCAGCCGGATGCACAGGCTCAGCGGCCATGGCTCACGGGCCTAGCCGCTCCACAGCATGTGGGATCTTCCCAGACCGGGGCACGAACCCGTGTCCCTTGCATCGGCAGGCGGACTCTCAACCACTGCGCCACCAGGGAAGCCCCCTTCTTTGTCTTTATGCTGGGATAAAGGTGTGAGGGAATATGCCATTCAGTCATTCATCTCTTCATTCAGATTTTTAGTGAATGTCTACTTTGTGCCTCACCTCATGTTAGTTGCTGAGGAGAAGCAGAAATGAGTCAGCCCCATGGGACTCCCATGGGAGGGAGTCCAGTTGTTAGGACTCCATGCCTCCACTGCAGGGGGCACGGGTTCCATCCCTGGTGGGGGAAGTAAGATCCTACAAGTTGCGGGGTGGCCAAAAAAAAAAAAGAAATGAGTCTAGTGTGGAAGCAGACTCAGCCCACGGCTCATGAGGCTGTCAGCCTGGACTGCCGGGAGAGGCTTGAACTGGGTCTTGAAGGATGAGAAGGCTGACTATCAATGAAGGGACGAAACAGCGTACTGGGTGGAGGAAAAGACACAGCAAAAGACTCCAGGGTGTTTGGGGTCCATGATTCCTTGGTGTCATTAAGGCCTGGGGTCCATGGAACAGGGAGGGAAGTGGTAGGAGAGATGAGGTGATGGGGACCAAATGCCAGAGCAGCGATTGAGTGTAATCCGGGAAGTTGTGGGGCGTTGATTTGTTGATATAGGGGACTGATTTTATCTCATTTCTTTGGGGGGTAATCACACTAGCACCTGGGTAGAAAACTGGATGTGAAGGAAAAGGGCTGCAGGCGGGAAGACCAGAAAGGAGGCTGTTCTTTCTTTCTCTCTCTCTCCTTCCTTCCTTCCTTCCTTCCTTCCTTTCTTTCTTTTCTTTCTTTCCTTTCCTTTCCTTTCCTTTCTTTCTTTGCCATGCCGCATGGCTTGCAGAATCTTAGTTCCCCAGTCAGGGATTGAACCCCGGGCCATGGCAGTGAAAGTGCCAAGTCCTAACCAACCACTCGATGGCCAGGGAATTCCCCAAAAGGAGGCTGTTCTGATGGCCCAGGTCAGTCACCCCTAGACTGACCAGGGGTGGTGGGGATGGAGGGGACCCAGGAGACAGCTCTGGATTTGGCAGTTGAGGGAGGGTCTAGAACCTTGTGGTCTTACGAGAATGAGCTTTGTAATCAAAAAATGCAGGCAAGAGCCCCAGCCCTGTCCTTTACTAACTGTTATTTAACCATTCCAAGCCTGTTTCCTGATCTGGGCACTTGGGATAACAGCAGTAGCTGTCCTGAGGTTGGAAGGATTATGGGGGCTACTCGGTGGAGCACCAGGGACTTGGTGGATGCTCGGAACATGGTAGCATTCTTTGGATGGGAGAGGGAGCCAAGGACAGCTTTCTGTGTGCTTTGAGTGACTGGGTGGACGGAGATGCCCTCTTTGATGGAGAGCACTTTGGGGGAAGGCGAGGCCACCAGTCTTTGTGGTCAGCGTCAAAGCCCTGGCCTCGCTCACGATAGTTATGGATCCACACGTCTCCGAGTGCATCTTTGGTCTCTGTTCTTGGTGCTCAGCTCAGTGCTCAGGCATACAGCAGGTACTGCCCTTGAGGAGCAGGACCTGGCTTGCAGGTATAGATGTGGATATTGCAGGCATGTAGGCGCGGCTGAACCTGGGGAGGTGACAGGGTATAAAAAGAAGAGAGGGCTTCCCTGGTGGCGCAGTGGTTGAGAGTCCGCCTGCCGATGCAGGATATGCGGGTTCGTGCCCCAGTCCGGGAAGATCCCACATGCCACGGAGCGGCTGGGCCCGTGAGCCATGGCCGCTGAGCCTGCGCGTCCGGAGCCTGTGCTCCGCAACGGGAGAGGCCACAACAGTGAGAGGCCCGTGTACCGCAAAAAAAAAAAAAAAGAAAGAAAAGAAAAGAAACTGGGAGGGGGGCCCGGAAACCCTGCTGCTGCGGGGATGTGGAAGAAAGGGGGTGGGCGGTCTGGAAGGAGGCTGGGAAACAACATCCAGAGTTTGGAGGGGGAGGCATGGGAGGCAGGAGGCAGGTGGGAGCCAAGATGGGAAGGATTTCAAGAAGAGAGGGGTCATCAGTGTTGTATATCCTCCCATCACGATCACGGAGGATAAGGCCTGGGAAGTGGTCCATGGATTCAGCATAGAGGAGGTCACTGGGTAACTTGGCAGAAGCAGGTTCAAGGCCTGTTAGAGGCCAAAGCCCCATTGCAGGGGTAGAGGACTTGATGTGACATTAAGACGTGGAGATGGGAAGAGGTGAGGCAGGCATTAAGGAGAGGGATGCAGGGTACTTGGACCCTCGGGGGGGACCAGAACTCCTCTCCCAATAAGGACAAGTTTTGTTTTGACAGTCAGAGCCTCTAAAGATAGGCCAGGAGGTCCCCGGAGGTGGTGAGCACCCTGTCCCTGGAGGTAGACAAGCAGAGCTCTGTGACCCACACTGTCCGGGGACTCTCACACTTAGAGTGGGGAAGGCTGTGCAAAAAAACAAGCCCCATGTCCTTCTCAGCTAGGCTTGGCCGATTCCTTGCATCACAGAAGCCACCTAGAGGGTCACTCTTGCTATTTCTAGTGCCCAGAGAGCCTCCCGCAGGGACACACACACAGAGGTGGTCGTGCACAGATTCACACAGATGCTCCCAAACACAAACTATAAAATCTATCTATATCTCCTGGTGTAAAGGGATCCACAGCTCCTCTCCCCAGGCTATTCCCTTAATTCATTCCCTTACCCCTTCTTTCTGCCATTCCACCGTCACCCCCGTCCCACAGCAGCATCCCTGTGCCTCCTGCCACATCTCCTCCGTCTCTCCGCATCTCTCCCTCCTTCTGTGGCTCTGCCCTTCCCCACCCCCCTCTAGGCCTCTCCAGTCTCCCTCCCTCCTGGGTCCCCCTCCCCGGACTACAACCCCCAGGCGCCCCCAGCCCCGGGCGCTGCGCATGCCCCCTGCTCCCCGCCCCCTCCCGGTTCCCCCCTCCCTCCCTTCCTCCTTACCTCCCTCCTCCCCCCTCCCCCGCGCTTCAGCTCCCGCATCCCTCCATCCAAGCCTGTGCCGCAGCCGCATCGCCACCGCATACCCGGCAGAGCCGAGCCAGGCCCAGGCCCCTGCCCCTGCCCGGCCCTCAGCCCGCCGCCCCTCAGCCCGCCCCCGCCCGCGGGCCCCCCTACAGCGGCCTCGGCGCCCCCCCGCCGGCGCCCCCAGACTCAGGACTCCAGCACCGAGGCAGGAGGCAGGGAGCAGAAGCAGAGGCAGGAGAACGAGGAGGAGGAGGAGGAGGAGGAGCCGTCGCAGGATGAAGGATCGGACTCAGGAGCTGCGGAGTGTGAGCTTGGGGGTGGGGAAAATGGGGGGGCGGGACCCCAGTATTTGGGGAGCGCGTGGGGGTGGAGTGGGGGAGGTGCTGGGACGTGGGGGCAGATGATGAGACTGGAGGTTGGTGGCAGGGGCACCCCAATATGTGAAGGCACCTGATGTCTCCAATGAACCTGCATTTTAGGGACAGTGGCTAGAAGGGGTTGGAGGCCATTAAGACACAAGGGGGCAGGAGAGGTCTCAGGGGCCCTGGACACCCTACATTCCCAGGAGGACCCTGGGGTCTAATCTGGGGATGGAAAAGAGTGAGTGTGGGAGAGAATTGGAGGGTGCTGTCATCCGCTGGGCAGATTTGCTGAATTAGAAGGATGTGGGCAGTTCCTGGGCCAGGCTGAGCCCAGCGAGACCCAGATTTGGGGGCTGCTGTGGGGAAGGACACACGTTGGGACTGACTGAGATGCCAGCACCTGGCAGTGAATGAAGCGTGTGTGTGTGTGTGTGTGTGTGTGTGTGTGTGTGTGTTGCTCTCCGTGGGGAGGGGGGCACCTCTCAGAGACAAGGAGGGAAGGGGTGGCCTCAGGAGATAGCCAGAGGGCCGGGGCCTGAGATAGGGTGACCCCAGAGGTGGGAGAGGGGGTTGCAGGGGAGACCGGGAGGAGGTTCCACGCACAGGGCCATGGAATTGGGCTGTATGACGGGGATCAGGCTCCACTGGGGAGAACTGGGGCATCCTAAGCTGACAGGGGCGGGCTGGCGTGGGCCTCTGGTCTGCAGGCCTGAAAAGGCCCAGCTCCAGGAGTCGGGCCAGGCAGTTAGCTGTGTTTGGGTGACGGGGGAGGAGGGTGGCACTGGTGTCTGCAGTGAAGGCTGCCATTTGGAGGGGCTGGGGAGTGGGGGCTTGTTAAGAGTGGCTTCTGGGCCTGGGGGGATGCGGTGGGGTGGAGGGTTGTAAAAATGACCTGGGGCCCCGAGAAGGCAGATCTGACAGCCTGCTGTGGGGTTATGTTAATAAAGTACTAGACCCAACTGATGTAGCCTGACACACTTCACCAGGAGCCTATTGGTTATTACCCTGGGGTTGTTATCCCATTTGACAGATGAGGAGATTGAGGTTCAGCAATGGGCAGGAACTTGCCCAAGGTCACCAAGCAAGTGGCTGGGAACATCAGACAGGAATCTGGGTTTCCCGTCTGCAAAGTTGATATGCGTCTCTGCTTTTTTAGCCTTTGAAAGAGAAGTCTCAATACTGGGGGTAAAAAGCTCTGTCCTTGGAGAGCCCCCTGGATTTGGGGGTGGGGAACCTGCTCACAGAAAGATAAGAGGAAGGGGCTTAGAGGCAAGTGACTTGTCTCTGGGAGAGGTGGGTTGGCAGGTGGGAAGGAAGGAGGAACTGGTGGTTGGGGGAGGGAATTTTGAAGGTTTATTTTTTTAAATTAAACTTTGAGTGAATATACGCTTAGGCATCAGGAAAATGACGGTGATAAAAATAACCAACACTCATGTGCCAGACAGTTCTAAGTGTTTTATACATACTTATTTCGATCCTCACAGCAAACATAGGAGACTGGTACTAGTATTATCCCATTTTATAGATAAGAAAACCGAGGCCCAGAGAGGTTAAGTAACTTGACCAAAGTCACACAGCTAATTAAAGGCAAGCAGGCAGGCTGACTCCAGTGTTGGTGCTCTTAACTCCCTTTCTGTCCCCGTTTTCATCCAAAGTAGGTTGCCATCCATAATCTCATTAGACCCTCACCTGGTAAGGTGGGGAGACTGGGCAACTACTTCATTTTATAGTGAAGGAAACTGAGGCCCAGTGGTTGAAACTTGCCCAAGGTCACACAGCTAGCAAGTGAGTAGTCTGGATTTGAACCCAGATCCACTGCTGCCAAGACTATGCCATGACTCCAAAATCCCAAGAAATGGAAAGTGGGTCAGGGTGAGGTGGTGGTGGAATTGTGGTGTGATTAGAGAGAGGGGGAGGGAAAAGGGGAAGACAGGGGTGCAGGGAAGGCAGGGGATGGGAGTTCTCATCTGAGTGGATCAGGGACCCCCTGCCCAGAGGGGAGGAATCCTGTCTGCTGGGGCTGCTGGGGGCAGCAGATGGGGGAGGTGGGAGGCGGGGTGGAGGGGCAGAGGGGGCTGAGTGAATGCTGATGGCTCTGGTGTTAGTCATGGCTTAGGGAAACTGGAGATTTGGGAGGGCATGTGTGGGGCGGAAAAAAAGCTTCCAGATACAGGGAGTACCGGGGTCAGTTGAGAATGAGGAGGCTGGGAGGCAGGAGAGACTAGGCAGGGTGTGGGAGGCCTGAGAAAGGGGTCTCTGAGAAGCTGAGAGGGATGGAAAGGCAGTGATGGGCGGGGATGTCAGCCCAGGGGGCCTGATTGTCTTTTTTCAACAGTACTTTGAGTTCCCGAGGGGTTCTCACATCTGTTCATCACATAGCTGTCAAGGGCACAGATTTGGGAGTCAGACTGTCTGGGTTCAAATCCTAGCTTTGCTACTTCCTGTGTGACCTTGGGTAAGTTGCTTAACCTCTCTGGTCCTCACTTTCTTCATGTGTGAATTGGGAGTAATAACGGGACCTGCTTCAGACGGCTGTCCTGAGGATTGAAATTATGCTGGAAGCACCTAGAAGGAGGCCTCGTGCTCAGCATTGCTCCATGAGTGTTTGTTATTCCACAGCTGACTCATTTATTTCTCTTGAGTCTCACATCAGCCCCCTGAGATGGGCAAGATGGGACCCCTAATTTATTGGAGTAAATTGAGGGCCACAACGGTAACCTGACTTGCCCAAGGTCATACAGCTGTTAATGGTGGAGCCAGCGTTGAACCAGGGTTTTCTGTTTCCAGTTCACCAGGCACCTTTGGTCAGCAACTGGGAGGCACTGGGCTGGAGTGGAAGCTGCGACGGGGAGTCAGTTGGCTGGATGGGTGTCCCAGGGTCCAAGAAATGGGTCCAGGGATGGGGCTGAAGAGGAGAGCAAGGGAGCAAGTGAGGTGGAGGGGAAGGTTGCGGGGAGAGAGAAGCCACAAGGGGACGCGTTGTGGGCCGGAGCCTGAGAGGCAGCTGTGGAGTGGGAAGGCGGGGGTGGGGGTGGATGGGAGACTGGGAAGTGGGTGGGGGGAGACCTGAGGTGAGGGAGGCTGGAATTTGAGGGCGGCTGTTCTAGGACAAGTCATGCACCCTGAGGGCAGGGACTGGGTCCCAGGTGTAGCCCTCAGGTATGGGATAGGCACAATAGGCGCTTTAGAAATGCAGACCTGAAGCAGAAGGAAAGGGCGGCCTCATGTCTGAGGAGAGCGGGCACGGACCAGGAGAACCCTGGGTGATGGGTTGGTATCCCCCAGCTGCGTGGGGCTTGTTTCTGCCATTCAGACACATCACGTTCCCCCTGCTTGAGGGCCTTTGCACTTGCTGGTGCCTCTGAATGCTGTTCTCTCTGCCTGGACACTGTTCCCTCTGCCTTGAATTCTGTGTGCTCCAGATTGTAGTGCAGTTAACTCCTCAGGCCTTAGCTCAGATGTCAAGGCCCTCCCGAAAGGCCCTCCCTGATGCCCATTTCTCTCTATCACACCTCCTGCTTTATCTCCCTCTTGCTAAGTAGCACCATCTGAAATTGTCTTGTTCATTTTCCATTGTCTGTCTCCCTCCGCTGGAATGTCAGCTCCTTGGAGGCAGGACCCCTTCCTGTCTTGTTCACCATTGTATTCTCCGCAGCACCCAGAAGAGAACTGGACACTGATCAGAGATATTTGTCAGATGACTGAAGGGCTCAGTGGGGCAGAGGGAGGGTGAGGAAGGGAGTCGATCGGGGAAGGCAGGGAGGGCGGAGGAGAGAGGTTGGGATGGGAGGACTGGGTTGGATGCTGGGAGTGCGCAGAGGCCTGGGTCAGGGAGACAGATGGACAGAAGCAGGGGGTGCGGTGGAGAGAGGCTGCTGCCTCTAGATCAAAGGATGCTCATGCCCCTGAGAAGCAGGTGTCAGCACGTGTGTGTTGTATGCGTGGGCATGCATATGTATTTACACACACACACACACACACACACACACACACACACACATATACTCTGTGACTTTTTTTTTTTTTGGCCGCACCACGCGGCATGCTGGGATCTTAGTTCCCCTACCAGGGATCAAACCTGCAGACCCTGCATTGGAAGCATGGATTCCCAACCACTGGACTGCCAGGGAAGTCCCCACTCTGACTTTTCTATCACCCAATTCCAGTCTCTTTCCACCTCTGTTTTAGTCACCCTCTCGTTTGTCTCTGTTGACTTCCTGGCCCACGTTGTCCCACTCCCTCCATCCACGCATCTGTCTATGTTGTCTCCCCGTCACTGACACTCCTGTGAAGACCTCAGGTGTCTCTGATGGGGAAGGACTGAAGCTAGAGGCTTGGATCTGATGCCCCCTGTCCTCAAGGCGGTTCCAGAAGGTGCCCAGGGCCTCCACGGTCTCCCATTTCATCCTCCTGAGTGCTTGAGGAGCTGGCAATCCGTAAAGAGCAGCGTGCCTGGGTTCCAATCCAGCGCCATTGTGTCAGCACCCCATCAGCTGTACGATCAGAGGCAAATTACTTAATCTCTCTCTGCCGCATCCATCAGATGGGAATAAGAAGAGTGTCTACTTCATGGAGTGAGTGGCTGTAAGGCTTAAACGAGAAATGCAAAGCACTTGTAACAGAGCCCGACGCATGGTAATTGCTACCTACTTGTTGGGTATATATGATTCTTACTTTCTTCATTTCGCACAGGAGGAAACTGAGGCTTGAATTGTCCATATAGTGGATGGGAGCACATTTGGTCATCTTTTCTGAGGTAGTCTCATTTGCCCTCAGCCTGTTTTCTTTTAGTCTGGCCAGCTTCTTCCAGAAATGGAGGCCGTGCTCATTATGAAACACACACCTCAGAGCAGGGAGGGCCCACGCATTTCACAGATAAGCTGGGGCCCAGAGAGGGTCTGAGAGTCACACAGCAAGTCAAATGGAGGCTACAACAGCTGGCTTCCTGTCTGGGCTCTTCCTTGCAGCCTGGCACGTCTTACTGGTTTTCTGTCCCAGCCACAGGAGTTCAGTGGTACTGAGGACACAGCAGAGCAGACTCTTTAGGGGCCAGGAAGGAATAGAGAGACAGAAGGGAAAGAGCCTGAGCTTTAGCACCAGGACAATTCAGGTCCCACCTCTGGCCTTATTTCCTGTGAAGCCTTAGGCAGGGTCAGACAACCTCTCTGAGGCGGTTTCCTCATCTGTAACATGGGGGAGGCAGTGGGTAACAGCCAAGCCTCCCTGAGCACTTATTCTCTCAGGCAGCATCAGGCATTTTTACTGCCTCGTCTCACTGGCTCCTTCTGCCCACCATTTAGGGAGGACTTTCTCGCCATTCAGCAAATGCAGAGACTGAAACTCAGAGGGAAGAAGGCATGTGGCCTTCCAGCTGCTGACCTGGGCAAGCTCGTTAGCCTCTCTGTGACTCAGTTTCCCTATCTATAAAAGGCAGCTATTGTAAGAATGAAGTGGATAAATAAACGCAGTATGCTTTAGAACGGTGCCCAGCATGTTATCAAATGCTGTGTAAATGTTTTCCATAATTATAGTTATGTTGACCAATGGTCCTTACAGAGTTTTAATGAAGATTAAATGAGATAACAAGAATGCAAGACCTAGGCCAAAGGTGCTATCACACGCTAGTATTTTGCTAGGTTTTCGGGGCGCAGAGCCTCGCCCAGATTGTGCCTTGTCAGGAGGGGACTGAGAAGGGAAATCTCTGGTGGCAGAGTGGCCAGTAGGAGGCAGCCTGGTCTCAAGCCTCAGAAGGGACTATGGGAGGGACTTCCCTGGTGGTCCAGTGGTTAAGACTCCACGCTCCCAATGCAGGGGACACAGGTTTGTCCCTGGTCAGGGAACTAAGATCCCGCATGCTGCACAGTGACGCCAAAGAGGAAAAAAAAAAAAAAAAAGAAAGAAAGAAAGGAGGGGCTATGGGAGGAGGCATGTCTTAGATGTCTCTGGTTTCCTGGCCCCTTTCAGCCTGGGTGCCCTTGAGCAAGTCCATTTCCTCTTCCCCCTCAGACCTCCTGTTCCCCTCATCTTGAAATGGGGACAGCTTTTCTCGAGGGCTATGGTAGTGAGGATCAGAAGAGATTATAGATGTAAAAGTGTCTGTCAACTGGAGAGGACTTTAGCTGTCAGCTGTCTGTAATTATTACACCAACTAAGTCATCCTTGGGCACTCTACCTTTCCTCCTCTCTCAAGGGCAAGTAAACAGGCAGCCAGGGACACCCCAGGGCAGAATCAGGGATCTGGCCCTGGGAACCAAAGGAGAGAGGGAGAGAAATGAGACTTGAGGAAGTCTAAAGTCAGCCTGGGGAGGGGAAAGAGAGAACAGGAAAGTTCCCAGATACCTGGGCCAGCGAGAGGCCTCATGACCTGTGGGCAGCCAAGCTGAGGGCCAAGTGCTTGAAGGCAGAGAAGGGACAGAGGCCGCGGTGGCGGTGCGGGTGGGTAAATCCCTTGTGTGTCTCTGAGCCCTGGGGGGTGGAGGGCTGAGCAGCTGCAGCTTGGCTCTAGGGGAAGGGGAATCTCGTGAGGCAACTGGCTTTTTGAGGATAGAACATCATGGGAGGCCGGTGGGTCCTCAGAGATGAGCCGAGCGTCCCAGAGCCTCATGGAGCCAAGGTCTATTGGTGTGGTTCCGGGTCAGGTGGAAGCTTGAGAAGCCAGAAGTCCCATCAGGGTCGCCAAGCCCCACCTGGTACCACCCCTCCTTCTGGGGGCAGCTCAAATGGAGGCTAGAACAGCTGGCTTCCTGTCTGGCCTCTTCCTTGCAGCCTGGCATGTCTTACTGGTGGGCAGAGAAAGAAGAGCCTCCCTTTCCTGGGAGATATTTGGAGCTTAAATGGAAGTGCTGAAGGTATTCCCCAACATGGCGAGGGGAGGATCCCTGGGGACCATCTGAGCCGGGCTTGGGTGGGAAGCTGGGGTACCTTCGAGAGGGTCCAGCTGGACGTCTCTGTGCTCACGCTTCCTCGGGGTGCTGTCGGGCCTCTCTGATTCCAAGTTCACTTGGCTGTCTAGATCACATCTAGGTCCCATCTGGCCCAGTCTAGGTTCGATCTGAGCTGTCTGCCATCAGTCTGCGCGGAGTCTGGTTCGGTCTGAGCTGTCTGGTTTCTGTCAGGTCCTGTCTGCGATCTGCTCGGACCCTGTCGAGGCCCTGTGCAAGCTCTTCTCTTTAGATCCCAAATGGCGATACCCCCCGCTAGACGCTGTGTGGATCCCATCTTGATTTCATTCAGGCTCTGGTCATGAGATTCTGTCTGAGTTTTGGCTCGGTTTTTTCTGGAAATCAGGGTGAACTGTTTTGTTTGTTTGTTTGCGGTATGCTGGCCTCTCACTGTTGTGGCCTCTCCCGTTGTGGAGCACAGGCTCCGGACGCGCAGGCTCAGCGGCCATGGCTCACAGGCACAGCCGCTCCGCGGCATGCGGGATCCTCCCGGACCGGGGCACGAACCCGTGTCCCCTGCATCGGCAGGCGGACTCTCAACCACTGCGCCACCAGGGAAGCCCAGGGTGAACTGTTTTAAGTTTCCGTGGAGGCTGATTAGGGCCCCAGATGTAATTAAGCTTGATGGGCTCAGCTTTTGCCCTCAGACTTCTGTCCCGAGCAGAGTCTCGAGACTGGAGTTTGGAGCACTGGGGAGCCCTTCCTAACCCCCTTTCCTCCTTCCCAGCTCTGAGTGAGTGTGCAGACCGGATGCTCAGAGAGGCTGGGAGAAGAGCCCCAGAGGGCCCTCCCGAATGTCCCTGGGGGCAGAGGGACCGCTGCACGTCTGTGTGTCCACATGTGTCGGCAGGCAGCTTTGCTGTGGGTCTGTGTGGGTGTCAGTGGGCCTATTTCTGTGTGCCTTGTGTGTCAGCCCTTCTGTCTATGTCACTGGCCTGTCTGGTGGCGGCAGTGGCAGTGTGGGTGGGTAAATCCCTTGTGTCTCTGAGCCCTGGGGGTGGAGGGCTGAGCAGCTGCAGGTTGCAACCGGGAAATCCAAGCAAGTGAGAGTAGGTGGGTGTGAAGTTGGAAGAGGCTGGATGAAAGCAAGTGAATACACGGAGGAGAGTGGGGGGAGGGGAAGAGAGTGGGTGGGAGGAGGGAGGTCGGGGTGCTGACTGTGTCTCTCATCCAGCCCTCCCCTGGCCGACTGCTTGCTTAACTCGGCGCCTGCTGCTGGCAGTGAAGTGACCTTGCATAGGGGACTAGGGGACGTGGCTGGTCGCGTTGGAGGCTGGAGGGGAAGAGAAGGGAGCAAATTGAAGCCTGGCAGGAGCGGCTGGGGGGATGGTGGAGGGGGGGGGGTCAGGCTCCTGGGACGCTATTCCAGACCGCTTCTCGCAGCCCAGAGCCAATTACCGCAAGGCTGACATTTAGCTGGTTGTTACAATATCGAAATACTTCCATACTGGTTGGTTAAAGCATCTGTCCAGAGCGCCACCCGCCTCCAGGGTGACTGCGCTCACAGGACCACGCGTACCCTCGAAACGGTGCCTTTGGCTAATTCCCTCCAAGGTGTCCTTTGGGCTGTCAGGTACCCGGCCTCCGGGACTCTGTGCCACAAGACACCCAGGATTCGTTGTGACTGCTTGGTGCCCCGGCCCCCTGCATGTGACCCTTCCCAGGACCCCCGCTCTGAGCCCAGAGCTGGGAGCATCGGGATTGCGCACAGACTGCCTTTCTTTGCCTCCCAGGCGAAAGACAGCGATGATGAGGAGGAGGTGGTCCATGTGGACCGGGACCACTTCATGGATGAGTTCTTTGAACAGGTAACAGAACCTGGCCCCCAGCCAACAGCTTCCTTCTCCCCGGCCCCCGGCCCCCACCCTGCTCTCTACTCCTCCATCCCCTTGGCCTTTTACCAACCCCTCTGGGTCTGGCCCGTTTCCCTGAACCCTGACTGAGCCCCCTGAATCCCTTTGTCTGGCCCGACGACTTGGCTGGGTATAGCCGATTTGCTGCCCCAGGTGGAAGAGATCCGGGGCTGCATTGAGAAGCTGTCAGAGGATGTGGAACAAGTGAAAAAACAGCATAGTGCCATCCTGGCCGCCCCCAACCCGGATGAGAGTAAGTGCTGCTGCCGGGTGGCTGGGGTCTGCGGGCAGGAGTCTGGGGTCCCACCCAGACATCTCACCCACCCCTCCCCTCCCCTCAGAGACCAAACAGGAGCTGGAGGACCTCACTGCAGACATCAAGAAGACGGCCAACAAGGTTCGATCCAAGTTGAAAGGTGAGGAATGCCATCCCCTGCCTAAGGAGGAAAAAAACTCTGCCCTCCATTGGACTAAACAGGCCTCTCTGTGAGGAGTGTCTACAGACTTCCAGGAGCCAGATTCTTAAACACTGAGAAAGCATAAAACCCGAGATTTCCCAACTTGCTCCAGATGCCTTGGAGAAAGATACAGACATGACAGGGAAATGACAGAGAGGAGGCTTTCTGTCCAAATTGCATCTGAGCTCTGCTGGTTCCATCAGCAGGAAGGTCCACCAGGAAAATACAGTCTTCCAGGTGGGTTTAATTTCATGAAGGCCTCATTTCTCCAGAACAGTTGCCGGACATAGCGCTAAGCACCCAGTAGGTGGGCTCAGCAAATGCTTCTGAATTGGTATCCTTAGCGCAGGACAGATTGGACTGTGTGGCTGACATCAGGGGCTGGCAACCTTTCAGGAGGGACTTGCCAAATGCTCATGTATTCACTCTAATTTAAGGACTTGGGTGCTGGTAATAACCACCTTCCCCCAAATCACTGTGGGTTGGGAACCTCCTTGTCTGCTGGTGCCAGGGGAATAGCAGTGTTACCATGATGCTAATTTGTATGCTCATGGTAATTCAGCATCAGAAAACATTTGCCGAGCACCTTGAGGCACATTGCTGGGCTTTGGGGGAAAGGAGTCATGTCAGATGCCTGGCCCTGAGCACAATGACCTTGGTCCAGAGAGATGAGGACAGGGACTCCGTGCCCTCCTGGACTCAACAGGAGGCCATATGTGAGCCTCCAGTGCTGATCTGTAAGCCCTTTGCACTCAGGAGAGCGTGCTAGAAAGCAAAATGATCCAAACTGGGAGCACACTGATTGCAAATCCAGACAGAGGGAGCCCACTTCCATCACCAGCTCATTCTGGACAAGTACCCTACCCTCAGTTCCTCATCAGTACAGTAAGAACTACTAAAGCAATTTCAAAGCTAGATGTTTTTGTTGTTGTTGTTTGTTTTTGTTTTTTGGTAGCAAAATCTTTTTTCCCAAGTGAAATCTTACCCCAAATTCCAATACATACAACACATAAAAGTCAAGCTGTTCTGGCTGACCTGGGGTTGGGAGACCCAGAGCCCTACCTGCCTAGCCTCCTCATCACTCCCAGGAACAGACCCCTCTGAGGTTCCTTCTCAGAATCAGGGTTCCGTGGGACACAAGTTTAAAAATCCCTGGGCTCAGCAATTTCTTTGAGCCCATTGAGCTCTGACATTAACACTCTTTATAAGACCATGAGGAGGGCTGTATGGTTTAGGAGTTCAGGAATAGACCAAGAAAGAAGCTAGGAAAAGTGGCAGTGGCTCAGAGGAGCTGACCCTCCAGAGCTCCAGAAAAAGAGAGATCACCTTCTCCATCTTTCTCCAGCTCTGTGGTGGCATGAGCTCCGGCATTGCGTGTGACCTTGAATGAGTTGTTTTCTCTATTTCAACCTCAGTTTCTAGTCTGAAACCTGGACTGAACTCCCAGGATTACTGTAAGAAGTCAATAAGACCCTGTAAAGGATCCCTTCCTCCTGGGCTTGGCCCCAGCCCCAAGTCTGACAACAGGGTCCCAGTCTGAGCCAGAGATTCCAACATTCCTGGGTGTGTGTTTCTGGACTTTTCCCATAACAGCTGGGCCAGAGCTGTCACTCAGTCCCTGTCCCGCCATCGCTGGTGGGGGAGCGTTGGGGTGCCACCCAGCACCGTACCTCCACCGCTGCCAGGAACGGAGAAGCAATGTTCTCGGGAGTGGCCCGGAGGCTTTTCCAGGTCTGAGAGGGCCTGGTGATTCATCCCTGCTGCATTTTCCGAGCACAGTAGATCTTACCCTCAAGCTCTTTTTTAGAAACTCTAAATAAGTGTGGGGAGTGCATGGTCTAGAAGCAGTAATCCCAGTTAATCTGTGTGCTTTTCCAGAACATCCTTTAGAAGTGGGGATTCCTGGGACAGGGATCACTTTGTAAGGCGGGGGGAGCTATTTTCTCTGTTGGAACATCCATCCACTTACCCTAGAATTTTCCAAGGAAAGGGCAGCCACTGGAACCTGACCCACTTGAAAGTGCTTGCCCTCCACCAGATAAATCCCAGGGTGGGTTCCTGACCCTTTTCTGAGGCTGCAAAAAGCAGAGAGTTCTCCCGCCCCCCATACAGGGGATGTGGACTGGGGGGCTGGGCAGGAGTTACAGCTGTGGGACTTTCCAAGACGCAATCCTTCCACCAGAACAAATAGCCCCCTTCTGTCTGGTGACCGACTGACCCTCGATATCCCCTCCTACCTGGTTTCCAGGCCCCCTCAAACATTGGTCCCTTTATCCGCTGGCCGCCTGCCTCCCCACCCTAGACTCTTTACTGTCTGCCCTCGCCTGGGTATGACATCCGTTCACGGGCCTGAGGGGCCTGCCTCGGGGTGTCCACCCTTCATATGTCCCAGACCCCCGCCCCACATGCGCCGGGTCTCTCGCCCTCCCGTCACTGCGTCCTCTCTCCCGCAGCGATCGAGCAAAGCATTGAACAGGAGGAGGGGCTGAATCGTTCCTCTGCGGACCTGCGCATCCGCAAGACCCAGGTAGGAGGCAGCGGCCAGGCACGGTCAGGGTCGGGGCCGGGACCAAAGCGCACAGGACCGGACAGGGGAGGGGCCCAGGCTGGAGCCCTGCCTGTTGGGCGTGGGCGGGCCAGAGCAGGCACTAGCGTGGGGCGTGGCCAAGGGGGAGCCTGGGCAGGGGCGGGGCTTGGGGCGGGACTACAGCGGAGGTCGGAACCCGGCTACATCTCAGTGCCCTAGCCCGGCCTTGGCTGGCTTGGGCGTAGGATGGGGGTGGTGGGGTATGGGACTGCACACTTGCGAGGGCTTGGGGTCGTGGCATGAGCTGAAGAAGGGGCCGTAGGCTAACTCAGCCCCTCCCGCCCACTCCATCCCTCCACGGTCTCTGCTCCCTGCCTCCTGATGTGTCTGTACCCCCCACCACAGCACTCCACACTCTCCCGGAAGTTCGTGGAGGTAATGACTGAATATAACGCGACCCAGTCCAAGTACCGCGACCGCTGCAAGGACCGGATCCAGAGGCAGCTGGAGATCAGTGCGTGTGACATCTCCCCCCCGCAAACTCCCCAGACCTGTCCCATACTCCTTCCAGGCCCTTCCCCTCCGTGGAGGGGACTCGTGGCCTGAGGCCGGATGGGAGGGTGGGCTCCCGGGTCCCTACCACATCCCACCACCTTAGGTGTCCAGGCTGGCCCAGTCGCTGAGCAGCGAGTCGTTTCTCCCCACAGCTGGAAGGACCACGACCAACGAAGAACTGGAAGACATGCTGGAGAGTGGGAAGTTGGCCATCTTCACTGACGATGTGAGCCCCGCGTGGGGGTGGGGTCTGTTTTTGGAAAGCATTCGCCTTTCCTTCCCAAGCGTAGGCTGAACTCAAGGTCCTAAGTCCGCCGTGAAATAACAAGCATCGGGAAGTCTGAACCTGGAACTGGGGAATTCCATGGGGGCAGAGCAGGAAGTACCCTCATAAAAATGGCAATCAGTAAGGTGCCAGGCACCGTTCTAAGCATTGAATGTATTTACATTTACCTACTAAACTCATTTAATCCTCACCACAAGCCTCTGAGGGAGTCGTGTTTCACAGATGAGGTAATCTGATCCAGAAAGGTTAAATGACTTGCCGAGGTCACACAGCTACAGGCAGAGCAAGGATCTGAATCCGCAGTCAGGACTCTTCAGTGCTAAGATACACTTCTCCCTAGTGATGCGGGTCATTTCACCAAGTGACTAATTTGCCTACATTTTGAAGGTTTTCTAAAACATCAGTTTCAGTTTTGCTGAAGTTTGGCACACTGCCCTGCGCTTGTCATCTTATATGTGAAAGAGATGGGCTTTCCCCAACTGTAGTTCTTCTTTCTCTTTCTTGTCTTTCGCCCTGGCTGACAGGTTCTATCTCCCTTTCAGCTTCTGGTGGCAGAATGACTCTGGTTTAGGTTTCTAGACCAGCGTTAAAGTACATTCAATGACCGTCTAGCAGTTTTCAGCAAATTGCTATTTAGAGAATTGATCTTTGTTAAATTAGCTTTGAGCAAATTGATAATGGGCCAGTTAGCCCGGAGCCCTCCCAAACAGCTCTGCCCAGGCTGTCAGTCTGTCTGAGAGTGGAGGGAAACCTGGTGAGGGGTTCTAAGGGGATAGAGCTGATCCCTGCCAGTTAACCCACCATCATTACGATGCAGGGTGGTCGGTACATTGCCTGAGGGCTGAACAAGAAGCAGACAGGCCCTAAGGTAGTAGTTAACTTCTAGGGTCGGAAAGGCTTCCTGGGGGAGGTGGCATTGAGTTGTGTGCCTTAAGAGACAGGGAGCATTTGGACACGGGGAGATGGGCAAAGGACATTCCAGAAAAAGGGGACAGACTGAACAAACACAGAGAGAGTGGACCACTTGCCAAAGAGCCATTGGATGATTGGGGCTCTTAGGATTTGGGGAGATGAGGACGGAAAGGGAGATGGGGCCTCGACTGCTAAGGAGATGAGGACGGAAAGGGAGACGGGGCC